TTTAACTCACAAACTACAAAGGAATATCCGGCAAACAAAGATATGAATGAACTTTTTCTAATTTCTTTTTCTATTATTATTATTAGTTTTGGCATTTTGCAAAACATATACGTATAGTGTTAAAATATAAGTATGAGTGCATCCAAAAGAGACAAAAAGAATTGATAGAAAAAAAGAGACAGTCATCTTTTACAAAGAGCCAAAACCAAATCAGAAAAAAAAACTTGCTCTTTTAATCCCAAACCCATACCCACAAATCCTCTCTTACTAGGGCTCTTCGTTTCTCTCTCTTTCTTCTCCACAGAACCAGAGAGAAAGAAAAAAAAACCAAAACTTTTTTTTGGTTTTGCGAAGAAAAATTAAATCTTTTTCTCTTATTAGGGTTCTTGGGGTTTGATTAAAGAAGAAAATAATGGGTAAATGTGGTGGGAGAAACGTTAACGGCGTTGTGTTTAACGGTAACGGAAGCGGTGGAGTTAGGCCGTACGTACGTTCTCCGGTGCCAAGACTCCGATGGACGCCGGATCTTCACCGTTGTTTCGTTAACGCCGTCGATATGCTCGGTGGCACACACCGTAAGTTTTATACTTTTTGTTGTTTTGAAACAAAAAATCAAAACTTTTGGTTTGGTTTGTTTTATTTATATACCTTTAAAGTTTGGATTTTTCTTTTTGGATATTACTACAAAAAGATTGAAACTTTTCTCATGGATAGTCATTTCATCATCGTTTTCAAATCAAAGCTTGACACTTTTGCTACTTTGTTTCATTCATATATCTTAAGGTTTTGATTTTTTATTTTTTTGTGAGATTTTTGAAAAAGTTTGAATTTTTCTCATTACTTATCTTCATCAAGTTTTTGAGCCAAAGCCGTTCACGCTTTTTGTTATTTTGTCTTTATTCATTCATAAATGAAAAGTTTATCATATAAAGAATCATCATAGTCACCTTTTGTATATTTTGTTGGGTTTGATGAAACAGGAGCAACACCAAAACTTGTTCTTAAGATGATGGATGTAAAAGGACTCACCATTTCACATGTCAAAAGCCATCTTCAGGTTATAATCATTAAATTTACCATATTTCCTTATTCATGTTTCACTCAAAATTGATAAATATTAAAGCACTTTTGTTATATTGTTTTTGACCATATATAACAGATGTATAGAGGTTCTAAACTCACTTTGGGGAAACCAGGTAATTTTTTTTTTATTGTCAAATTCATATATATATTATGAAATGATGATTTTTTTCTAGAGAATGGGACCGTATGATTTTATAATTTTGAACCGTTAACATCAAAACTATAATAATAATGGATGGAATTTAATTATTTTACTGTATCTGTTTGTAGTATGTACTATTGGTCTAGTGTCATGATTCATAAGACAATTGTCATAAATACATATATTTTGCTTATGGGTACCTCTTTTTTTTTATAGAACAAAACAGAATAATATTCATTCAATATGGTTATTAATTAATTTTATTTTTTTTGGGGAGACAGAAGAAAACTCATCATCATCATATTCAATAAGAAGAAGACAAGACAGTGAAGAAGATAATCTTCATGACAACTTGTCTTTACACACAACAAGGAATGATTGTCTTTTGGGTTTTCACTCTTTTCCTCTTTCTTCACATTCTTCTCTTAGGTA